GCTCCCGGGAGTGCTACGAGGAGGTGGTGGCTTTGGAGCAGGCCGAGGACCGGATCGCGAAGCTGGAGGAGGAGAGCAGCAGCCTGCGGGAGCTGGTGGAGGACATGCGGGCCGCGCTGCAGAGCAGCGACGCCAGGTGCCTGGCGCTGCAGGTGAGCGGGGGCTCTGGCCGGGGCTGAGCCAGTGTCCGCGGGACAGCAGCTCCCAGCCCCTTACCGGCCATGCGCAGCCTGGCCCCCACAACTCCGCCCCACGGGCATCGCGCCCTGCTCGGATTTCCGCACAGAGCCGCCGGGCTATTTAAATCCCCGATTAAAGGCGCGCAGCCCTGTCAGCTCTGACAAGGAGTAATGAGCTTCAAGTGCAGCAGGGGAGGTTTAGATTGGACATTAGGAAAAAATTCCTAACTGTCAGGGTGGTCAAATATTGGAATAAATTGCCAAGGGAGGTGGTGGAATCTCCCTCTCTGGAGATATTTAAGAACAGGTTAGATAGACATCTGTCAGGGATGGTGTAGACGGAGCTTGGTCCTGCCTTGAGGGCGGGGGGGCTGGACTCGATGACCTCTCGAGGTCCCTTCCAGTCCTATGATTCTATGACTGGCAAGGGATGTCGGCTCCCATCTGATGTCACTGCGTTCAGTGCATCCGAAAGCACACGATCACCTTGCTGACTGCAAGTAGAGTTGGCGGCAGCTAGTGTGGTTATACAGGGGCTCGTTACATCTTGTGTTCAGAGGAAATGCTCTGCATTGTGACCTATCTGCATTCACCTCAGTATTTGGTAAAGAGCAGGGCTGACTGCTCCAGTGCTTGTAACCAAAAGCCATAGCCAGGACCTTGCTTTATTCATTCAAACTCTCCATGGTTACACCGTTGAACAAGCAGGATTTTTAAAAGCTAACCATTAAAACCCACTGAACCAGATGTGGGTGAAAGTACAAAGGAGGGTGGGAGACTAACCCCTTGCAGGGCTGGCTGGCTACTTGTTTGTGGGGGGGAGATTTTTGACCTTTGAATTAGTTTATTTCATGGGCAATCAAGGCTTCCATACTTTTCCCGTGTTAATGATAGACATAATTTGAAGATGAAGATGCTCTGATTTTTTAAAAATGAACACCCAAAGTACTAATGCTGACTATTGGAATGATTCAGAGGGTAATGCTCTATCTAGTTCCAGATTATTGAATATAAATAGTTCTGTTTCTAAACAGATGGTAACTTACATATTTGTCATTACAGGCAGTCCCCGCGTTACGTACAAGATAGGGACTGTAGGTTTGTTCTTAAGTTGAATTTGTATGTAAGTCGGAACTGGTACATATTGTAGGGGAAACTCTAGCCAAACATTTCTCCAGAGCTCAGTTTTATTCTCCCACACCTCACTTCCCTCAGTCCTTTATTCTCAAGCTGAGGTGTCGGCTGAGAAAAGCCACTCCTTCAGTTTCAACAGCGGCTGAATCTGGACGCCAGTTCTGACTTACATACAGATTCAACTTAAGAACCCCAGGCTCCGCGGCTTTGCTCTGCTTTGCTCCCCGTCCCCCTGGTCTGCAGACCAGGTGGACGGGGAGCAAAGCGGTGGAACACGCGGGCAGCGGACAGCCCAGACACGTCTGGGCTGTCAGCTTCCCGCGTGCTCCGCGGCTTTGCTCTGCTTTGCTCCCCGTCCTCCTGGTCTGTGAGCATGTAACATGTAAAGCGTTTGAAAATATTTGTATTGCCCAAGGATTGTGCCCAAAAGTGTGTATAGGCCAAAGATAGATTCCTATTGAAGGGTAGGTTTACTACACAAGAAGAAAAAGTGTCAAAAAATTGCCCATTTTCATCTTTGATTAAAATGTTATTTTCAAATATATTAATCTGCGTTCCTCTTTATGTCCCTGTTAATTGTAGGTAGGACTGTGGAAAAGCCATGCTAATCATAAGAAAGACGGGACCTGTTTTATAGGTAATAAGAGACTGTTAAAGCCAAAACACTCCGAGCCCACCAAGAGCCTTCAAAGTGTCCTAAAGGAGGTGGAACTAATCCGGAATTCTAGGGATGGACAAATTGAAGAAGCAATTAGGTTCAATCAAGAATTGCAAAAAGAACTGAGGAGTTCTCAAGAAGCTATAGTGACCCTGGAAGACTGCAACCATAATCTGAAGAGGGAACAGGCAGAAATGAGGAAGAAGGTGGAAGAAGCTAGACATGCAGTCCTTAACAGTCTTGGCAAAGTGAAGGAGTTAGAAGCAAAAGCCAATCAAGTGCCACATTTGCAGATATACATTCAGCAGCTAGAATCAGAACTACAATACTATAGGTAAGTCTGATACTATTCAAAATAAATGTATCAAATCATATTGAAGCATAACTGGACTGTAAAATAAATAGTTATAATTATTTACTTTGCTCAGATGTTTTCTTAAGTGTGGTTGGAGATGAATTAGGAGCTACCTATTCATTTTCTTATAGAAGAACTACACTAAATTGGAGATCGGTGCTGAGGCAACCGATCCCTCGGGAGTCAATTTAGTAGATCTGCTGCAGTGGACACTCAGTGCCAACTCAAGTATGTTGTTTCCAGCAACACTATGCACATAGCAAGGAGTAATGCAGAACTCAGCGTGCAGCTGGCCAGCAAGAAGAACCACTGACTCCAGGCTCCACAAGGGCACTTATCCTTTGAAATGCACAAAAGCTCCCGGGGCTCCCGTACATTTCAAAGTGGAAGCACCCATGTGGAGCCTGGAGTCAGCGGAACTTCCCAGTGGCCCTGGGCTGCACATGGTGTGCCAGCTTTGAAATGTACAGGAGTCCCCAACAGGGGCTCTTGTGCATTTCAAAGCAGAGGCGCCCTCCTGGAGCCTGGGGTCAGCATTCTGCGGAACCTGGGATCAGCTGGGGACTCCACAGCTGATATCGGGCTCCAGCACAGCATTTCCACAGAACCCGGGGTCAGCAGGGGACTCCCCAGCTGATCCTGGGCTCTGCTCGGCATTTCAAAGCGGCAGCACCGCACGGAGCCCGGGTTTAACCCAGGGTTAGCTAGGGAGTCCCCAGTTGACCCCGGGCTCCACGTGGTGCTGCTGCTTTGAAATGCCGTGCCGGCGTTTCAAAGGGGCAGCGTCGCACAGCTGATCCTGCGCTTTGTGCAGCGCTGCCCCTTTGAAATGCTGCGGCAGTGTTTCAAAGGGGCAGTGCCGCAAGGAGCCCGGGGACAGTTGTGTGGCGCTGTCGCTTTGACGTACCCTCAGTGCCCTCCCCCCTTTTGATGCCTGTATCTAATAGAGGCATCAAGGGGCGGGAATTGACTAGTTGACTAGTCCTTAACGTCCTTAGGTAACACCTCAAGATAAACATAAAAGGCCATTGTTTCCTCAATTCTTTATATATTACATTTTCCACCTTTAAGGTTTTTATTTTAATTAATTGAATCGGGTTAGTTCCTGTTACTTAAATTGGATACACATAAAAATAGTAATTGAGCAGATGATGGTCTATCACTCATTCTAAACCTACACTGGGCAAACAGCTCAGAAGTCCCACATATAAGGCTGGATTCTTGCCTACAATCAATGTTAAACTGTGGTGTAATTTGTATCTATCATTTTTCATTGATAGAAGGTATTTTGCTTAATTAGAAAGAAAGCTAATTCAAAATAAAACAGATGGTGTATGTAAACTGATTGTATATGTATACAGGCAGTCCCCGACTTACGCGGATCCGACGTCGGATCCGCAGTTATGAACATGGACTGCGGGACC